AAAACTGAGGTATTTTCTGCCGGTGAGGAAATTTCTTGCTAGAACAGATCATAAACTCCTGCTAGGATTGCTTGGCAGAGGTAAGCAGATTCCAGTTAATGCTAATGTTAGAATTCAAAGATGGGCATTACTACTCTGGCAGTTTGAGTATGATTTAGAGTATAAGCCAGGCAAGGATAATGTAGCAGCTGATGCATTAAGTAGATTGCCTGTGACAGAAGAATTAAATTCCAGTATTCCAGTGGAGTATGTTAACCTGGTGGAATCTATGTCTTTTGAGGATATTTCATTCCAGACTATTAGGAAGGCAACTGGTAAAGATCCCAAATAAAATCTGTTGATGAAATATGTCAAATATGGTTGGAATGATAATTTATTATTGTCAGAGTATGCTGCAGTGAAGGCTGACCTTAGTATTCACCAGGATGTACTCTTGTATAGGAATAGAGTGGTGGTGCCTGGGGAACTGAGATGTAACATTTTGGAACAGCTGCATGTAGGCCATAATGGCATAAATGCTATGAAAGCAGAAGCTAGAAGTTGGGTTTGGTGGCCAAAAATAGACCAGGATATTGCTGAGGTAACAAAAAATTGTCATATTTGCTTAAAGAATTATCAGAAACCCCAGGCCCCAGTACTTTCCTAGTCATGCACTGGAAAACCCTGGTCTAGACTTCATGTAGATTATGCGGGACCTATGGATAATAAATATTACCTGGTGGTGGTGGATTCATACACCAAATTTCTGGATGTGCATGTGTGTAATTCCACCACATCATCTGTAACTTGTGAATTACTAAGGAAAACATTTTGTAATTTTGGATTGCCAGACATAATTGTCTCAGACAATGCTCATTATTTTGTTTCTGTGGAAATGGAGGATTTTTTTAGAAAAAATGGTATTAAACATGTAACACCTGCCCCCTATAATCCTTCTTCAAATGGTCTAGCAGAAAGAAGTGAGATCCTTGAAAGAAGGGTTAAAGCGGTTTACGGAAGGTACTATTAATACAAGGCTTTGTAGATTTTTATATAATCAAAGGAAAACTGTTCATTCTACTACTGGTAAATCTCCTTCTGAACTACTGTTTAATGGGCACTTTAAAGTGCACATGGAAGCAGTAAAGACAGATTCCGATAAAGAGAAATCGGTAACTAGCTTGGCCAGTCAGTTGGCTCAGGGAGAGGAATTAATAATAATAATAATAATAATAATAATAATAATAATAATAATATATTTAGGAACAGTACATACATAGTTGCAGAGTTACAGTACAAACATTGTGTTTGACTTAAAGACAGAGGTAGTACACACAATACCTAAAGCCACTAGTACACACAGTGTTTCGGGCAAGGTGAGGCGGGGAAAAAAAACACTTAGACTAAAACTTAATAGTAATTGAGCTTAAAGTATAAATTGTGTTGAATGAAAAAAAATAATAAAAGATAAAAAAAAGAGGAACATAGTAGAAAATAGCCAATATACAAGTTGGTCAACAAACAGCATTTTTTTTTCAAATAGTAAGACATGGGTTGACATTTAGAAGTAAGGTAGGCTACATGGAGTTAATTAGGTAGTACTTAGTAATTGTTGTTTAACGAGGGGGATGCGTATATGCAAGGAATTTTGGAACTGGTAAGCCATGGATAGAAGGAAAAATTTGGGAAGTCTTGGGACGCAGAAATTTCACTGTGCAAGTGCAGAGTTTTAGGAACATTAATTGGATAAGACATGCAGATCAGCTCATGCTAAGGTTCACGGGGAATTTTGAAGACCCTTCAGGTGGGGGGGGGGGGCAACTAGTGATACCCATTTATTTTTTTCAGATATATACAAGAGTTGTTACATTCTTGTACAGCCACTAGTACGCGTAGCGTTTCGGGCAGGTCCCTGGAATACGATCCCCTGCCGCGAAGAATCGTTTTTTATCCAAGTACACATTTTACTGTTGAGTTAACAGAGGCTACAGTTAAGGATTTGCGCCCAGTAAATCCTCCCCGGCCAGGATACGAGCGTCACGAGGATGGTTATCAAAATGATAACCATCCTAATAATGAAAGGATAGCAGTACCTGCAGGAGACCGGGAGGCAGAGCAAGGGGCAGCAGAGGGTAATGGGGATACAGTTAACCCTATGGACTCTACAAGGAGTAATTCAGAAGAATGTTTCCCAGAAGTAACAGGTCAGGACTCACAGTTGAGAAAATCAGGAAGAGTCATACGACCGCCTGATAGACTTAACCTGTAGGGGTAGAGTTTATTTATAAGGGGAGGAATGTTGGGATTGAGTACTACAGACGTTAAGTGTAGCATGTTTGGAGCAGATGCTCTTTTGTTTATAATCTTGTAAATAATAAGTTATGTATACCTGTGACGTCGTGGTTGTTGTTGTTGTTGACAATAAGCCATGTAAACGGAGATTGTTTTTCTTCCGGCAGAAACGTAACACTCCCGTTACCGTCACTCCCGTTACCGTCACTCCCGTTACCGTCACTCCCGTTAAGGGAGCCTCGTAGCCTGGTGGATAGCGCGCAGGACTCGTAATTCTGTGGCGCGGGTTCGATTCCCGCACGAGGCAGAAACAAATGGGCAAAGTTTCTTTCATCCTGAATGCCCCCTGTTACCTAGCAGCAAATAGGTACCTGGGAGTTAGTCAGCTGTCACGGGCTGCTTCCTGGGGGTGGAGGACTGGTCGAGGACCGGGCCGCGGGGACACTAAAGAGCCCCGAAATCATTTCAAGATAACCCGTTGCGGGTTACTGAGAAACAACAGGCCGTAAGGTTGACTTGAAATCAGCACAAGGAATATACACTTCTGATAATGATACAGTAATTAATTAAGGAGTACTCACTTTGATAACCAGCTTATATTCAAATAATCTCTCTCACACTCAGTATAACTCCGCCGATCATTAAATATATCAAGACATAGACCGCACGTGGTAGATTCATTGGCACAGGAACACATGTGGTGTGAGGAGGAGTAGTGTAGTTCACAGAGCGCTGCGGAGGCTGGGGCGGGGTAGCCACTGAGTCACAAGGACTAGACTCACATGCTCCAGCTGTGGAGGCCGGGGCGGGGTAGCCACTGAGTCACAAGGACTAGACTCACATGCTCCAGCTGTGGAGGCTGGGGCGGGGTAGCCACTGAGTCACAAGCGCTAGACTCACATGCTCCAGCTGTGGAGGCTGGGGCGGGGTAGCCACTGAGTCACAAGAACTAGACTCACATGCTCCAGCTGTGGAGGCTGGGGCGGGGTAGCCACTGAGTCACAAGGACTAGACTCACATGCTCCAGCTGTGGAGGCTGGGGCGGGGTAGCCACTGAGTCACAAGGACTAGACTCACATGCTCCAGCTGTGGAGGCTGGGGCAGGGTAGCCACTGAGTCACAAGGACTAGACTCACATGCTCCAGCTGTGGAGGCTGGGGCGGGGTAGCCACTGAGTCACAAGGACTAGACTCACATGCTCCAGCTGTGGAGGCCGGGGCGGGGGAGCCACTGAGTCACAAGAACTAGACTCACATGCTCCAGCTGTGGAGGCTGGGGCGGGATAGCCACTGAGTCACAAGGACTAGACTCACATGCTCCAGCTGTGGAGGCCGGGGCGGGGTAGCCACTGAGTCACAAGGACTAGACTCACATACATGCTCCAGCTGTGGAGGCCGGGGCGGGGGAGCCACTGAGTCACAAGGGCTAGACTCACATGCTCCAGCTGTGGAGGCTGGGGCGGGGTAGCCACTGAGTCACAAGGGCTAGACTCACATGCTCCAGCTGTGGAGGCTGGGGCAGGGTAGCCACTGAGTCACAAGCGCTAGACTCACATGCTCCAGCTGCGGAGGCTGGGGCGGGGTAGCCACTGAGTCACAAGGGCTAGACTCACATGCTCCAGCTGTGGAGGCTGGGGCGGGGGAGCCACTGAGTCACAAGCGCTAGACTCACATGCTCCAGCTGCGGAGGCCGGGGCGGGGTAGCCACTGAGTCACAAGCGCTAGACTCACATGCTCCAGCTGCGGAGGCTGGGGCGGGGTAGCCACTGAGTCACAAGGGCTAGACTCACATGCTCCAGCTGCGGCGGGGTAGCCACTGAGTCACAAGCGCTAGACTCACATGCTCCAGCTGCGGAGGCCGGGGCGGGGTAGCCACTGAGTCACAAGCGCTAGACTCACATGCTCCAGCTGCGGAGGCTGGGGCGGGGTAGCCACTGAGTCACAAGGGCTAGACTCACATGCTCCAGCTGCGGCGGGGTAGCCACTGAGTCACAAGCGCTAGACTCACATGCTCCAACAGAATGGCCTGCAGAGACGATGCCAAGCCACACAGCAGGTGTGGATGAGGTGGATGGAAAATAGTCAAAGTCACAACAGTTCTTAACTTTACGTTATTCACTCGGATGTTGACAAAAACCAATGGGAATCGTACCTAGATTCATTTCACAAAGTTTACTGAGCGATCTGGTGACGGATCTCTCGAGATCACAACGATCTTCACGAATTATGAACTACAGTCCAGTTGCCCTGCAGGTTAACACGTGTGAAGTTACGCTTCTTATATCACAATCTCCGTTTAATATATATATATTCGCGTCGTTGAGGTACCGGATTCTGACAGACGGAATCACGTAGACGTGATTGATATATACTGGGCTTAATGAAGTCGCCTTCAGACGGGGTTTTCCGTAACTGTGACCGAAGTTACGGTGTAACGTGTCTGAACAGATCAAAAGCCTCTCTCAGAATGATTCTCTAGAGCGGGAAACCGGCCCGCAGCCTTTCCTTGTTCTTGAAGGTGACCAATAAGCGAGCAGCATCTTGGAGGCCCAGGAGTGCCTCTACCAATAAGCTCTTGGTCCTCAGTCATGTGACGTCACAGTCTACCGGGGATGTTCACACAAGGCAGGACAACCGTTAACTGTCTCCTGCCCCACTCCCTCTTACCTTGGCTCGGTCTCTAAGCAACTAAAGCTTAGGGTCTTATTAATGTTGTAATTCCTCTCACAGCAAGGCTGCGGCGGCCCCCGCAGCTTTACTGAAAAGGTGAGGCCCTGGAAACACAAACCGGGCGTCTGTTTTCTATAAACACCAAACAATAAACGTCTAGCTCCCCATATTAAGAAAACTAGCATGCCTGCACACTTGTGCACCCACTGAGAGCAACAATGACGGGGTACTCTCTTCTATCAACCAAGTGTAAGCTAGCGGGAATTTGCATTCCCTCACAAGATTTATTCGATCTCCAGAAGTTCCATTTAGTTATCAATGCTTGTTTTACCGCCTGAGTCATCCATCTTGTTCCCTTTCTTTTCTTCTTCCTTTTGGGCACATATTTTTGAAAGAGTTCCGTGATGACCTTCTTGAAATGTTCCATGATGCTTATGTGCCAGGTTCACATATCAGTTCCCTCAGTGAGATGTTCTGCAGCTCTTCTCTCATTCCCTGATAGTCTCCTCGATGATAATCTAGAAAGTCATCATCATGGACCTTTATGTGGGTTTCCGTAGTTGAAGAGACGCACATCACCTCCCATGTGTGTGAGTGATGGCATGTCATCTAATCATTCAAGTGCGAATAATGCTGCAAAATATTCATTCAGAGTGTTCGCTGCCCTTGTACCGTCCATTATAACTTGGTGAGTCTCATCTTTTAAGGGATGAGTCAAAAGGATTCAAGAGGACCACACACACAAGAGGCACAGCTTAATGGAAGGAAGCGGCTGTTATTTCCCTCGACATGTCAACTGAACGTTCATCAGAAGCTGGAGTGGATGCTTCAATTGGCCAAGGAATTTGGTGAATGTGAACCATTTAAGGAGTTTTTACAGTCCCTTCATCACAGTTGGGACAGAAAAGGTATTGGAACACCTAATGACTAACGGCGTTGAGAAACTCATGTACAAAAAGCTCTATTCCTGTCTACATAAGCACAGTATACAAAGTTCAAACCAATATGGACACACAAGAAGCACCAGTGACGACCTACACCGGAGGACATCCAGTCACCATCACAGTACCACGAGAACTGATACCCGGCAACACTGAGGAATACACGGCATAACCTGCGCCCAGCACCCCGAGCTTGGTGCCCTCACTGTCACCTCCCGGCCAGAGAAGACACCAACACACACACCAGAAGCTGGACAACCATGAAGAAAGAACTAAGAAGAGGTAGAACTCTGCGGCCCAAGAAGGGATCCAGCCGAGTAATAATAACTGACCAAAAGACCACACCAAAGGTAGCAGCCTTACCTCTCACTCTTTAGGGGAATAGGGACCTAACTACATCCCGCTTTTATCTTTTGTTATCGGCCACCAAGAAGACCTCCTCAGAGGAAAGAAGACCCAACCCACCAGGAAGACAGCAGTCTTCACCCCAGCGCCTCAGAGGAAAGAAGACCCAACCCACCAGGAAGACAGCAGTCTTCACCCCAGCGCCTCAGAGGAAAGAAGACCCAACCCACCAGGAAGACAGCAGTCTTCACCCCAGCGCCTCAGAGGAAAGAAGACCCAACCCACCAGGAAGACAGTAGTCTTCACCCCAGCGCCTCAGAGGAAAGAAGACCCAACCCTCCTGGAAGACAGCAGTCTTCACCCCAGCGCCTCAGAGGAAAGAAGACCCAACCCACCAGGAAGACAGCAGTCTTCACCCCAGCGCCTCAGAGGAAAGAAGACCCAACCCACCTGGAAGACAGCAGTCTTCACCCCAGCGCCTCAGAGGAAAGAAGACCCAACCCACCTGGAAGACAGCAGTCTTCACCCCAGCGCCTCAGAGGAAAGAAGACCCAACCCACCAGGAAGACAGCAGTCTTCACCCCAGCGCCTCAGAGGAAAGAAGACCCAACCCACCAGGAAGACAGCAGTCTTCACCCCAGCGCCTCAGAGGAAAGAAGACCCAACCCTCCTGGAAGACAGCAGTCTTCACCCCAGCGCCTCAGAGGAAAGAAGACCCAACCCACCAGGAAGACAGCAGTCTTCACCCCAGCGCCTCAGAGGAAAGAAGACCCAACCCACCAGGAAGACAGCAGTCTTCACCCCAGCGCCTCAGAGGAAAGAAGACCCAACCCTCCTGGAAGACAGCAGTCTTCACCCCAGCGCCTCAGAGGAAAGAAGACCCAACCCTCCTGGAAGACAGCAGTCTTCACCCCAGCGCCACCTACAGGACCAAGCCTCACAGCCCAGCCCGCTCAGTGAGAGGAGATGTCAGCCCCGTTTAATGTGGTGCAGCAGGGTCCAGCCCTGGCTCTGTCTCTTCAACTACCAGCACTTCCTCTCCAAGACTACTCTTCAGCTGTTCCCACTTCCCCGCTCGCCACATGGGGCTCTTAACCTATATTTCAGTCACTCCACACACCCACTCTCGACTCCCACGCTACTAGAGGGAGGCCACTCAAGTGATTTTGGCCTGGGGAGGATTGACTAGGCACCAATCCTTAATTGTATGCCACTGTTTACCCAACAGTGACTGGGTACCTGGTTGTTAAAGGATTGGCCGGGTCGTATTCCAAGGAAAATTAAGATTAAGGATCTGCCCGAAACGCCATGCGTGTTAGTGGCTTTATTTATTTTATTTATTTTATTAAATTTTATTTATATATATACAAGAAGGTACATTGGGTTTGTGAGAATACATTGGATAGTACAGTAATTACATTCTTGTAAAGCCACTAGTACGCGCAGCGTTTCGGGCAGGTCCTTAATCTAGCAGATAATTTTAAGTAGGTAAGTTCAATCAGAATTGATAAATGAAAGATACATTACAAGAGAAAAATGAGATGAGAGAGATAAGTAAGTATATTAAAGCACATTGTTATATTAAAGCTCTGATTGATTACATTGACAGCTTGATTAGTAATTTAAACAAGATTAATAGACACCATACAGCAGATTGACAGCACATATAAGACAGCAATGATCACAATGGTAAAGATGTTCAGATTGGGTACATAAAGATTGGGAGACTGGGTAGCAAAAGATACAGATAAACAAGATTAATAAACACCATACAACAGATTGGCAGCACATATAAGAAAACAGCAATGATCTCAATGGTAAAGATGTTCAAATTGGGAACATAAAGGTTGGGAGATTGGGTAGCAATTGATACAGTGCAATTTTAAGACAAAAAGAGAAAAACAATGAAGATGAAATTAGGTACTTTTTAGTATTGATTTTGAATGATGTAAAAGTTGGACAGCTTTTCAATTCAGTAGGGAGTGAGTTCCATAAACTGGGTCCCTTTATTTGCATAGAGTGTTTACACAAATTAAGTTTAACTCTGGGGATATCGAAGAGATATTTATTTCTGATGTGGTGATAATGGGTCCTATTACATCTGTCCAGGAAGAGTTTCAGACAAGGATTTGCATTTAAGAACAGGGTTTTGTAAATGTAGTTGGCACAAGAGAATTTGTGGAGTGAGATTATGTTTAGCATGTTTAGGGAGTTAAACAAGGGGGCTGTGTGTTGTCTGAAAGCAGAATTTGATATTATTCTGATAGCAGATTTTTGCTGGGTGATGATGGACTTGAGGTGGTCTGCAGTGGTTGAACCCCATGCACAGATACCATAGTTGAGATAGGGATAGATTAGTGCATAATATAGAGAGATGAGAGCAGAGTTAGGAACATAATATCTGATTTTGGAGAGTATACCAACTGTTTTAGAGACTTTCTTAGTTATGTGTTGTATGTGGGTACTGAAGTTGAGTCTCTTGTCTAGGAATATGCCAAGAAACTTTCCATCATTTTTATTGCTAATGTTTACATTGTCAATCTGAAGCTGAATTGCATTTGTAGATTTGCTTCCAAATAGGATGTAGTAGGTCTTTTCTATGTTAAGTGTTAGTTTGTTGGTTGACATCCATAAGTGGACTTTTTTTAGTTCATTATTAACAACACCATTTAGTGTATGTGGGTTGGGGTTGGAGTAAATGAGGTGTAGTATCATCAGCAAACAAAATAGGTTTCAGAATGTTAGAGACATTAGGCAGATCATTAATGTATATAAGAAATAGTAGGGGTCCCAAGATGCTGCCCTGAGGCACTCCAACAGTTATTGGTAGAATGGGAGAGATTATATTATTGATGGCTACACATTGGTGTCTATCACTAAGATAGGATTGGATATAGTCCAGTGCATGGCCTCGGATTCCATATTGATGGAGTTTACATAAGAGGTAATCGTGATTAACAGTATCAAAGGCCTTTCTCAGGTCAATGAAGAGTCCAATTGGAAACTCATTTTTGTCAAGGGCAGAGTAAATTATATCAAGGAGACTAATAATTGCATCGTTGGTACTTTTTTGAGAGCGGAAGCCAAACTGACAGAGGCTAAGAATGTCGAATTTTACGAGATAGGAGTAGAGCTGTTTGTAGATAATTTTTTCAAATATTTTTGATAGTATGGGTAGGTTCGATATTGGTCTATAGTTGTTTATGTCTGACGGATTACCTCCTTTATGAACTGGCGTTACTCTTGCGTTTTTAAGGATATCAGGGAAGGTATGACACTCAAGGGATTTGTTGAACAGCAGAGCTATAGGTGGTGCAAGGGCATGGGAGGCGCTCTTGTATACAATGGATGGGATTTCACTGATGTTCCCAGCTTTGGTTTTTAGTGAGTGTATGATGGACACAACATCTGTCGGGCTGACTGGTGAGAGGAGAAGAGAGTTTGGATAGCTGCCTGAGAGATATGTGTTGATATGTGTCTGAGACTGTGGGATTTTACTAGCAAGGTTAGCACCAATCGATGAAAAGAAGCTATTAAATTCATTCGCCATTTCTAAGTCAGATGACGGTGTAAGGCCATCCTTAGAGAGTGTTATCTGGTTGTGGGAGTGTTGTTTAGTTCCCAGGATGTTAGAGATGGTATTCCATGTGCTTTTCATGTTGCCTTTTGCTTCTTTGAATCTAGTCTCATAATATGAAAGTTTTGCTTTTCTTATGATACTGGTAAGCACTGATGAGTACCTTTTAACTACTTCTATTGAAACTAGGCCACTCCTAAATTTCTTTTCGTATTCATGTTTATTGTTGATCGATTTAATTATGCCACTTGTGAGCCACGGGTTATTTTTTCTTTTATCAGTTACTTGTTTGGTAAGGAGAGGACAGTGAGTGTTGTAGAGGCTTAGAGTTTTGGAGAGAAAGAGGTTAGTTGATGAGTTTAAGTCCTGTGAATTATTAAATTCAGATTCCCAGTTAATATTGTGGAGTGCATTAGAAAGATTGCCTAAAGCTGATTCACTATGTAGCCTGAATGAGAGTTTCTTGGTTTCTGGTGGTGATGTGTCAATGTTTGCTATGAGGAAGGTAGGATAGTGGTCAGTTGTTCTGTCATAAATTACCCCAGATGTAAGGGGAGCTGTTATATTAGTCCATAAGTGATCCAGGGTAGTGGCAGATGTTTGAGTGACTCGGGTGGGCTTGGTGATTGTGGGGATTAGCATACAGGAGTGCATGCTGTTACGGAAATAGTCAACTTGAGGGTTGTTTTGAAGACCCAGGTCAATATTGAAATCACCTCCCAGAATGATGTGATTTTTGTTGATATTGTTATTTATGATAAGATTCTTTACATTTCCTTACTTATAATAGAAGAATTCGTTTTCTTAGTCAATATAAAATTAAAAACTGTTGAATCAAATATTAGTTTTGAAAATCCACCAGCGATATTACGATGATGGTCACGTGTATGAGGGGACTTGTAAACAATGACTTCCACCCTCCCCTTCCACCCCTGAACCCTCCACACATGTGTTCGCTTACTCATCAGGGAAAACTTCTAGTGATCTTGAAACCTTGTGTAGTGGAGCCCTTCCACGCAGGTTAACTGCCAAAGTTGTGCTAAACTATGTTCAAAACAACTCTATAGCTGGAAATGACAGAATGTTACTGGACTTATATCGTAGTGAAATAGATACTATATATTAAGTGAACTAATAATATCAATATATAATGCTTACTGTAAATGCACAAATAACTAAGTTATCCGTCCTTAGCTGGAACATTGCGTCCCTCAAAAAAAGGTTCTCAGATTTACATCACAAAGTAACAACTGAACACATCGATATTGTATGTCTCCAGGAGTGCAGAGTTCCCGCAAGATCCTCACCCCCGAAATTGCCCTCATTTGTTTCTTACAACCTCAGATCCAGTAACTCTTGCATTCTATACATCAAACAATCCCTACCCCATCAACTTCTGCCTGCTCTAAAACTCTCCCTGGACAGATGTAATAGGACCCATTTTCACCACACCAGAAATAAATATCTCTTTGATATCCCCAGAGTCAAACTTAATCTGTGTAAACACTCTATGCAAATAAACCAGTCTCCGTGGTGTAGTGGTAAGACACTCGCCTGGCGTTCCGCGAGCGCTGTCATGGGTTCGTATCCTGGCCGGGGAGGATTTACTGGGCGCAATTCCTTAACTGTAGCCTCTGTTTAACTCAACAGTAAAATGTGTACTTGGATGAAAAAACGATTCTTCGCGGCAGGGGATCGTATTCCAGGGACCATAGGATTAAGGACTTGCCCGAAACGCTACGCGTACTAGTGGCTCTACAAGAATGTAACAACTCTTGTATATATCACAAATAAAAGGACCCAGTCTATGGAACTCACTCCCTAATGAATTGAAAAGCTGTCCAACTTTTGAGTCATTCAAAAACAAAACTAAAAAGTAGGGAGCCAGTCAGCCGAGCGGACAGCACGCTGGACTTGTGATCCTGTGGTCCTGGGTTCGATCCCGGGCGCCGGCGACAAACAATGGGCAGAGTTTCTTTCACCCTATGCCCTTGTTACCTAGCAGTAAAATAGGTACCTGGGTGTTAGTCAGCTGTCACGGGCTGCTTCTTAGGGGTGGAGGCCTGGTCGAGGACCGGGCCGCGGGGACACTAAAAAAAAAGCCCCGAAATCATCTCAAGATAACCTCAAGATACCTAATTTCATCTTCATAGTTTTTTACCTTGTGCTTCAAAGTTGCACTGTATCTATTGCTACCCAATCTCCCAACCTTTATGTACCCAATCTGAACATCTTTACCATTGTGATCGTTGCTGTCTTCTTATATGTGCTGCCAATCTGCTGTATGGTATCTATTAATCTTGTTTAAATTACCAATCAAACTGTCAATGTAATCAATCAGAGCTTTAATATACCAATGTGCTTTAATATGCTTACTAATCTC